AAATAATAAGAGGCTCTCACAATGCATGGCTGATGGCTTCTTTTGTTGTTGTTGTTGTTTTTTTTTTTTTTCATTTTTTCCAATTGAGTTTTGTTTGTTATTATGTGTGTTGTTGCTCTTCTTAGGGCAAAAAAAACCCATTGAAAAGACGGACTTACCCTTAATGAAGGGTAAGTCTGAAATCGCGCCCGCGAATCCGCGATTTGGGCCAAAAAACCCAAGATGAAAATTGGATTTTTGGGCTCATTTTTTTTGCATAATCGATTGGTTCTTGGTTGGTGTTTGCAAAATTGAACATATATGTTTCAATAAACATTATGGTTTCATATGTAACTTCTATACGTTTTTATTATTTTGCTTGTGTTTCACTGTTTTTTCCATGTATCCAACATGGCAGAACTATATATACTTCTTTCTCCTCGACTTTTATGTTGCTGTCTACTTAGGAAAAAGAGATCATGGTTTGGATAATTAATCAATTGATTGACATACCTTTTTTTGCTTATTTTAAAAATAATGCTTAATATTTGGAGAGTAACAGGAAATTAAAAGGCCGATAAGACTAGTTAGATGGCTTTAGTCGTTTTCCTTTTTGAACTCCTTTCCTAATATTTTGTTTCTCGCTCACTAAACAATCCATGTGATATGTGTGATGCACACCTGAGAGAAAATTTTCACTTGGATGCTCTCAGTGAGTTGAGGAAGAAAAGATAGTGTTTTATTCCTTTCTCAATGAGGAAACTGGAAAAGATATTGAAGAAGAGATAGTTGTGGTCTATACGAAGCAAGGTTTATTTGCCTTGGTTTCAAACTTGTCTTACCCCAAACCCTAAACTAGAAAATATATTGAAGAAAAGATTGTTGTGGTCTATATGAAGCAAGGTTTATTTGCCTTTCTTTCAAACTTATCTTACACTATTGGGGTAAAGTCCTATTACAATGATATCTAACAAATAATTACTTCTCGTTGTTCATAATACTTGTATGTAGTAACTCTACCATCCCTTTATTCCATAAGTGAGTTTCCATTCAATTTCGTTATACTATTAGTGATGTAGAAATAAATCTTACATTATGGTGAGAGAACTAAAAGCAAGTGCATTTTGCAGTTTACATGTGCAATTTTATTTTATTTTTTTTTCCATATTTTGTTGGGTGGATGATACTTGCATGCAATATTAGATGGATTTCCAGAATTAATAATTGACCCATTAACAACTTGCTTATCCCTTTTAACTATAGCTAGAGGCCGAAAATAATCAATCTTAAGGTCACCTTTAAAATAACATTTGTCTAAAATAGTTTACAAATTACCAATATTATGATATCTGAGAATTCCAAGGACACTAACATGGAATTTCTTACATAAAAGAACTTGGAAAATATAAATAAACAATTACACAGACTTTTCTTAACACTTGCATATATGTTGGATACAATTAAAGGATAACTAGACAATTCATGTGATCTAGCGAGAGAGTAATGATTCATCTAATTTCTAGATGGAGCATAATTCTCATTGCAAGAAAATTATGTTGGATAGAGGTTTCATATCTAAAATTTTGATTTAACTCCATTAATTAACAATGATAAATTGTGTGCAGTCATTCAGAAAGTTTTAAGGATGAATGGGGTTTTATAAAGACAATTTTTCATTGTCATATAATGGAGTTAAATCAAAATTTTAGCTATGATATCGCTATCCAAAATATTTTTCTTGCTATGAGAATTAAGCTCTATCTAGAAATGGGATGAACCATTATTCTCCCACAGATCAGGTGTGTTGTCTAATTGTCCTTCAATTGTATTCAATATATACTTACCAGTGTTAAGAAAAGTTTAGCTTTTGTTTGTTTTTATTTTTCAAGTTCTTTTATGTAAAATTCTAGGCAAACGTTATTTGAAAGATTATCTTGAGATTGATTGTCATCCCCTTTCAGCTATAACTAAAGGGCAATAACCAACTGTTAATTGGTTAGTTATTGTTATGTAAATCTTTCTGATATTACATGTAATTATCATCCACCCAACAACAAATGGTCTAGTTTGGACTTGTAAATTGCAAAATGCATTGGCTTGTAGTTCTAACTATAATGTAAGATTTATTTCTACATCACTTCTGTCATAAAGGAAACTCACTTATGAATAAAAAAGTGTGGAATTACTATGTTCAAGAAGTACTATGAACAACAGTAGGTAAATATGTAGCAAGAATAGGACTTTAATCCAATAGGGCAAGGCAAGTAAGCTTAAAAGCAAGGCAAACATTCTTGTTCTATGGCTTGGAATCCTTTGCCATGTTTCCTCAGTATATTATTTTTTTGAATAAACTCACTCTATTTTCTTTTACGTGTCATATTGTAACATGGTATCAAATATTCAGGCTTCATAGTTTAGTCAACATATTGGATTGATATATCGGTATCTTTTGTTTTGGCCAATTTCTATATGTTTCATCACCACTCAATAGTGACTCTCTGACACCAGGGACTAAAATGATACAAAAAAAAACTTTAATAGGAACCAATGTTATCAAATAACTGTTATTTCCCATTATATGGTGGCGTCTGCCATGACCATGTCTTTGTGGCATTCATGGCAGAACTTCTCATCTTTTTTTCACCTTCTCTCTTGTGAAGCTCCTAAGTTATGACTAGGGATGAGAATATGTCAGGCCTTAAACAGAGGCCTATGGCATGATCTCTTTAAAGTTTGGTTTGTCCTGACCTATTTAATAAAAAGGTCAAATTTAAGCTTTTAAAAAAAAATTATATAAAAAGGTCAAACTTAAGACTTATATAAAAGCCTGTTAGGCCTAATAGAATAGCCTATTTATTTATATAGTATAATAACAAAATAATATATATGTATATATTATTAAAAATATAAATAAACAAATAAATTTATAAAAAATAAATAAATTATCAATATTTAAAATATTTTTTTATACAATTATTTTTTTTCATTATCGGTTTTTAAGCTTACAACCGGTGCATGAGTGTACATCAAATTATCCATGAATTGTTCCTTCAATAAAACATGATTAAATTTTTCTTCTATGTATCTTTTAAAATTTAAATTTTAATAATAGACTAAACTGTATTTTAAAAATAATTTTGTTAATTTTTAAAAATTGTTTATTGACTTAATTAACATTAATAATTTAAATAAGTTTTTAAATGGGCTAATAAGTCAGGTCAAATTTTAAAAAGGTCAGGTGAAACCTATAAAAAAAAATGATAGATAATAGGTTAGTCTAGAAAAAAAAAATAATAATAGGTCAGGCTTAGGTTTTAATTTTGCATAACAAACCTAGCCTATATATTCAAAGCCTTGCTTGTCCCGACCTATTCTCATTCCTAGTTGCGACCAAAGAACCCTAGTGAGCCTTCTTAGGTTACCACACACGCTAGTGACCTGAACCATGGTGGATTGAACTCTGGAAAGTTTTCCCGCAAACAACAAATCGGGTGACCCATAAGAGTTCTTTTTGTTTTCCATTTGTTTTTTTTTTCTTCCTTCCATTTCTTTCTTCTTCTTTTTTTGCTTGTTTTTCAGCTATTCATCATTTCGTCAGATGTTCCTCATCGTTTTCTCTCTCTTTTTTGTTTTCTCTCTTCTTATTCTCCTTATGACTGTTTTTGTCTTCATCTATTCAATATTTTTGTGCTTTGTTTTTTCAAAATTTTGGAATTTAGTTGTGTTTTTTAAAATTTCATTATCATGTTCTCTGTTATGTTGGTTTCTTTATTAAACCTATAATGTTGTTCCCAATTGTGTTTAACTTATAGCACACTGTTAAGCAGTGAGCACCCAACATTAAAGTCAAGCATCCTAATACAGTAATACTCTTTTTTTATTTTGCTTTCTTTTTTTTTTTAATTTAGATATAGTGACAAAAAAGTTATTTAAGTCTAATGAGAAATGTTCAATGTCTCTTAACAAATATGGGTGCATTTATGTAAAATATATATATTTTAAAATTATATCTAGGCACATTGTATCTTGATTTTTTAAGAATTTATTGTATCCCTGTACGTGTGTTGTTGTGTTGTACCCACGCGTATCAAATATCCAGTCTTCATAGGCTGGGTAAATTCTCCTTCCATAATGATGAGAATGCTATATGTAGTGATGGGAAGTTGTTGGCTCACTCTGCACTTTTAATAACAATGCTATGAGACGATCTAGTTATTGCTGATTTTTTTTTTCCTTTTTTGACTTTTTTTCAGGTTCAAGAAGCATTATCTGCTTTAAAAGATGGTAAGTCTTGGTATTTCTATCTGCATGTTGATAATAAAATACACAAAAATCTTTTTGTTGACTTGCTTTTTTTTTTTTGGTTAATATGAGAAATAGAATCAGTCACAATATAATACACATTTGTAATTATAAATTATCATTTGAAATGTGGTTATAAAAATAATTTATAATATAAACATGGTTAATTTATTTTAGTTTAGTTATTTTCATTCTTTCAATTAGATATTTGTAATGCTATTTTTTCTTTTCTTTGAATATGAATTTTACTCATTATCGTTGTACTTAAAAAAAAATCTCTCAATTATGTCAAAATTTTATATATATATATATAT